TACGGTAATACCGAACTTTATTATGTACTTCAAAGTTTTACTTAGCTAGCTCGTCCAGACGACGATCCATGGCCACAGAGATTGCTTCAAGAAACGTAGCCACGCTCGACGCAGGTAGCACAGAGTTATGAGCTTCTCTCACTATCTCTTCAATCGCAGAGTCTTTGTTCACTGTTTCTCTGCACATTATGCTTCCAATTTGATATGGAGTTAGGTTTCTCTCAACGCCTTTCTTCAGAAGCATCGTGGAGATACGTAGAGTGCGTGAAACGGCTTCGGTAACATCCCAACCATGGAGTCGCAGAAGCGCAATGTCCTTCTCGGAGTCTAGCGAGCTTATGTAGTCAAGAGTGTCCGAAGAAAACGGGACTTTCGCTTGCGGCCAGTAAAGCCATTCGAATGTGCAATCTTCAAACTGCATAACCATTTCAATAACTTAGTTTCACTTGTAAAATATTTGGAAGGTCAATGTCGAAAGATATTGTAAAGAGAAAAGCTTACATTCTCAGGCAAGCAATAGCCATGATCGATGGGAATGAGAACTGTTTTGCCATCTTCGCCTTTCCCGGTCAATATGTTACCGGCATGTCGATCTGCGTTTGCCATTCTTATGTCGAAGACGCTTATCTTATGCACTTCTTCAACAGGAAAAGCTCCAGGGCCAATGTCTTCGCAGCTTCCATTGTTCTTCATGAACATTTGCAGAGAACCAACTTTGGCATCTTTTGTAGTACAACTGTTGACTCCCTCTGTGTAATTATACACTTTGTGAAAACGTCTGACCATAGCGGTTGGCGGCACGCCGGCAAAACCCATAACTTCTTTAGACAAAGATCTCGGTCCGCTTTTTGGATGATCTAATAAGTAAGCTGCAACTTCTCTAGTTGCCCCTTCTCCTACTCTAGTACCTCTCTTCAATCCCTGACCGTCTGATGACAAAGGAAGCTTCTGAGGATTGTTCACAGCCATTGGTTCCTCGTCCATGGGCTTGAAGACAGATACATAGTTGAGACCCGAAGAATCCTGCATCAAGTATGTCCCTCCTGTTCCTTCAGCTGATCTCACTGGTGGATTACCTTTGTTCAACCCATCAACCGTGCGGTCAATCATATCCTCGAGAACCTTTGGTAGTTTCACAGCGGGATTGAGAACAACGGGTTCTAACACGAAGTCTTTACCAGAATCAGCAGCAAAGTCTTCTCTTTTCACCGTATCTTCAACAAGAGCAGGCACCGATTTCTTAACGAGCAAATGGATAACAGAGTTTCCATCTTTACAAATCCCATCAATGATTCTGTTATCATCAAGCTTCTCACCTCTAAACAAGATCTCTTGATCATCAACATCAGGAAACCCTTTTCCTTCTTTAGAGATCTTTCTCTTCAAATACCCAACATTTCTACGACGATCGACATGAAACTCAAAGGCCTTACCACAAGTGGTTATCACAGTGACAAGCAAAGGATCATAGAGCTTAAGCACCAAATGCAACACACTACCACCAGTCACACCATAGTCCTTGACACGTGACGCGTTCCTCGCGAGCTCTCGACCACTGAAAACAAGTTTCTGTCTTCTTACCCTAAACCCATTACAAGTCTGGATCCTAAGCTTCACTTCAGCGATCGAATCGGACTCCAAAATGAGCATAGGCATGGTAGAACCAGATACACAAAGGAACACCAAAACCGATTTGACAGAGTAGTAATGCTTCGATTGTTGTTCGTGACCGAAAGAAAACCCCGATCCTCTATGAATCGGGCTTAAAGCAACATCAGCAACAGACATTTCCTAACGAAAACCTAAATCTCTAATCCCAAAAATCTAAACAAACAACAAAAAACATAGATCTTCTTCTACGGGCATCAATAAGAGACACCCTTCCATCGAATCAGTCGGAAGATCCAAACCCTACCCAGAAAAAAAAAATGAAAAACACCTTCCCCAACCCTAACACAGATACCAAAACAACGAAGCAACCTAGAAGAAATTCATGAAACCTCAAATCGGAGAAATGGTGATGAAATTGAGAATCGATAACCCTCGAAACCACGAATTTGTGCAAAGATCGGAGATGGAGATTGTTCTTGGGATTCGATTGATGAATTTTCTATAAGATACGAAGAAAAGAAAAAAAATCGTAAGATCGCTAAAAGAAGGGGAAGATTTTTTCGTTGGAAGCAGCTCTTACTTTAAATAGACGCGCTTCTTAGCCTTTTCCGGATTTTGTATAATTAACGCCGTTACTTTTACCATTCACGACCATTTGTTAAAATATTATACAGAACAATTAACGCCGTTACTTTTATCATTCACGACCGTCTGTTAAAATCTTATTATATACAGAACAATAATATTGAACTTATCTTGGAATATTCCCTTTGTTTTTAATCTTTCAAATTTAATTTACGCGCAAATTGTGATTTTTATTTTGATATACGTGGAGTGAATAGATAATTATTACATCGTATCCACTAAGATATGGAAATTTATTTATTATTAAGAAGAGAAAATAGTCCTATTAATTAAATTAATCAACCCAATCTTATCTAATTAACGGAGTTAGGACTATGTAACGTGGTGAACTTGCCGTCATCAAATCAAACGGAAACAATAACGTGTCTTTTGACTTGCCCGTAGAACGATGGTATCGTGAGTCATTTGTCCAATGAGGTATTGCCACGTGTGCTTCTCTTGTATTTAAAGGAAAAGTTGACATTAGTTGAAAGTGGTAATGGAATTTAATTAAGAGATGGGTGGGGATTAATCGAACTTAATTACTGGAACATTTAACTTTTAGGAAACTTGAACTGGTCGTAAAACCGAGATTATTGCCGTTGCACATGGATGGGTCCTCTTTCCACATAACAAAGAAAATATCTCAAAAGCCTAAATCATCATTATCATTTTTTTTAATAAAGCATATAATTAGATTATGAATAATAATGAATCATGTAGGTTCGTAGAATCCTCCTCCTCCTGTCTTGAGAAATAGAGATTACCATAAAACAAGAACCAGCTATGGTTTTTGAAATTGCATTGAATTATTTAATACACC